TTGCTTCGATTTGATAGGAACCAGCTGCAAAGATCTATGCTAAAACACCCCCTCAGTGCTAATCAGATTCAGGTCATTTAGACAATATCTGCTCTCATGGGATGATGGGTTTTTATCTATAAGCACTACCGACTTACATTCAACATTTTCATTTTTTTAAACCCACACCTCCTGGCCCTGAGCTCCTTTAAAAGAAACTGAACTACATTTAGCCTCTTTGCTTAAGGATTTAAACGACAAATAGAGGGAGATTATTGTCCCGCTACAGCAGGTCATCTCTACAAATTACTAGTAAGCTGGATGTTTTTAAAATTTGTTTCAATGTTGTAATACAGTTGTTGCTTTTTTCTTTTTTAATCAGGAAGCTTTGGACAGTGAGAGGATTATTTGTTTTTATCACAATACAGAGCTCTTAATGGCACACAGTATGAGGACTGTGCTGTAATCCCTTGTTATCTCTTCATGTCTGACACATACAAACCACACACACACACACACACACACACACACACACACACACACACACAGAGAGAGAGAGCGAGAGAGAGAGAGAGAGAGAGAGAGAGAGAGAGAGAGAGAGAGAGACCCACTACTTTGCTGTGCAGGTGCAGCACACTTTGAGAAGCTGTCTCAGGAAAGAAACGAGGAGTCGACTCTGTCACTGCATTAGACTCTTATTGAGCAGGGATTTAGCAGGAAAAGGCACTATTGGTGACATTAGTCAGGGCTCTGCTGGGATCTGTGGATTTCAGCTTAGTGGCAAAAACACACATGTTCACAGGGGACAGAATGAGACTCATTACAGTAATTAAAAACCTTTCCACACATGCTTTTTCATTCTGCACAATGAGCATTAGGGAGGCTACAATGTGCGCTCACCTTCGGGAGCTTAATGTTGGGCATAATCACCTTGTTGAAGTCATATCATAATGAACATGAATGTGCATGTGGGTGTTTTTTTTTTTTTCAATTGTGGCTGATGTTGGTTGCCACAGCAACAGCCCTAGCGGGCTCGTGAGGCAGCGTGGGGATTGGAGGCAACCCCCTTTACCTTAACAATCACTGCTTTCTCTGTCTGAGCGGCAGACTTCGGTTATCCCCCCCTAAAAAAAAAAAGAAGATTGAACAGGGGGGAGGATCTGCTTCTTTGAAGGGTATAACGGTGGTGTTAGCGCTCGGGGGTGGGTGTTGCAGAGTAGAGTTTCAGGTTTCGGATGACTACCAGACTGTGTTCATGAGAGCTGTAGTGCAGACAAAGAGGGTGGAGATGGAGGATGTGACATCTAAAGAGTGCATGTGTGTGTGAGAGAGGGAAGAGACTGAGTGGGAGGAGGGTGAGTGAGGGAGGAGAATCAGCGGCGAGAGGATGCTCACTGAGAGTGTGTGACGGTCTAAAGAGCTGAGAGTGAGGCCAGCAGGTGAAGCACTGATGAGAAGCAGCAGGTGAGCTGACTGGAGCTGGAGAGAGAGAGGAGAGGGAAAAACAGAGAGAGAGAGAGAGAGAGAGAGAGAGAGAGAGAGAGAGAGAGAGAGCGAGAGGAGGGAGAGAGAGTGAGAAGCTTAACAAGAGGAGAAGCGTAGACAGTGAGTCATCTGCCCGAGTGCTGGTCGCTGTCCGGACTTCCCAGGGAGCGCCCAGCCGACAGCTGCAGCCACCACTGTGAGTAAGTTTTGCTGCTCCGCTCCGTGTCGGACATGAGGCCGTCCAGATGACACGCTCCGTCTTCACACGGCGGATCTCTGTGGTGCATAGCTAACCAGCTGGGGTGTGTGTTATGTAATTTGTTGTGGTGTTTGGATGAAGCCGTGGCTTTGTGCTGCAAACTGATCTGCGGGAAGACGTACATGGTGAGGCTGCACAGAACGATCAGGTGTGTGTGTGTGTGTGTGAAGGGCAGCGTGTTGTGTGAGCTGCACCATATACTTGTGAAGGAGAGCCAGAGTTTGTAATGGAGCAAGCAGGACGTTTGTTTGTCACTTGGCTCTGATTCAGGCTTTGGTGCTACTTGTCAGCTTGTCTGGAGTGGGATATAAAACTTGCCAGCTATTTATGACAGACTATCATTATTTTGGAATTTTGGAAATTTTTGGAACATTTTTTAAACAATTGTTTTCGAAAAAAAAATGTTTACTGTTGTTTTACAATTTTGTTCAGTTACACATAATAACTAGTAAAATCACAGAAATAGGTACTAATTTATGTGTACACCATGACAAACACAGCAAAACAGTAAATGATGTCCACGTAATTTTTTTTAAAAATGGTAATTTGTTCTTTAACATAACATTTAACACTAAAATTACAGATACTTGCTATTATTTAAAAGAAAATGTATGTATTGTAAGAATTAAAAATGGTATTTTTAACTGTTATTTGATTGATTTCCCCTGTTTTGTTAAATTATAGACAATATCTAGAAAAATTACACACAAAAAAAACAAAACAGGGCAAAATTGTAATGCCAAATAATGTCAAAAATCAGTACTGTCACAAATAGCAATTTGTTCTCTGACGATGTGTGACCGTAAAATGACATGGATTTACTTTTTTTGATTTAAATCTCAAATATTATTTATTTACAGATGTTTGCTGTTACTTTTACAGTTTTTACACTTTTTGAAAGTTACAGTATTCCACCAATTTTTGACTTAGTTTTTGGCACCCTTGCTGCCAGATTTTTTTAAACAGAATTATTTTTTACAGTGTAGTAATACTATGTGCACAGCACATTATGACTTTAGACAGACAGTGCTTTGGGGGGGGATATAATACAATATTTATCTTTAAACCAACTGTTACAGATGAAAGCATTTCCTTTCACACAAATGTATGTGCGTGTCTGTGTGTGTCCTGCATCCACCTATTGAGAATCAGTCCTAATTAATAGTTGAGGGAAGCTGATGCCCCATCGTGTCTTTCTCTCCTATGGGAGAGCTGCTGCTGGAGCTACTCGCCTTGTTCATGTTTGTTGAGGAGAGACTCTTGTTCATAATTGCTCCCATTTCATCTGGATGCTGCAGGACTTTCCTTGATTGAAGATTCACTCGTTGTGTAATAGCAGGGAGGCAGTGCTGTATGTTAATGATTCATGCTCTGTTTTCTTCACCTCAATTTGAATCTGAGTGAACTAAGTGATTCATTCTCAATGAATGTGCGAACAGATTTACATCTCGACCACTGTCCCTCTCGAGCAGCTGTTCGTCTTATCTACAGCCTCAGCATCAGACCAACAACTCCATACATTCACCCATATAACTAATTACTGTGTCAGCACAGACAGCCCCATTATCTACTTGAGAAATGATTAGTTTTTGAGTTCAACAGTTTCCCTTTTTGCCTTGTGGAGTTACTGAATGCTTTGAATAATATTACTGTGCTTGTGGAGCCTTTTTGCTGCCGGAGTGCCCTGCACCTTGCACACGTAGATGTGTGATGTTTATTCCATTGTAGCCTCTTTTTGTAATTACAGACAGCAATACACATTTTTCACTTTGTATTATTGCTGTTTTTATCTTCATTTCAGGTCTCTTTCCAGAGTAATCAATTACCTTATGTATTTGAAATAGACTGAGCTAATTAAACAAATTGAAAGCCTGCTGTTCAAACCTGCTGTTGTCAGTGTCAATAAAGTCCAACAGTCAGCAGGAGTATTGATCAGATATCCTGTGGGATTAAAGCCTTCTTGGTATGGTTATTGAGTTTGAAGCAAATGATGTGTGACAGTAGTATTGCTCAGGTTTGCATTAGCAATGTGTTATTCTCCAGGATTGAATGAGAGAGACGCTCCGTTGGAATAAATGTGAAACTATTGGTGTTGTCCCTAGGTGCCTAAAGTGTTTGTGAATAGCAGCTTCTGTAATAAAAGAAATGAATAACCTGCAAAGAGAAATATGATTTGAAATTTTCTGGAAATTATTGCATGTCTTCTTATTAACAGTAAGGAAATAAGGTTATTTGTGTCAGATATGCACTGTAAAAAATGGTGAAAAGAAAAAAAATATGTAAAAAAAAACCTTATCATACTATAACATTAGAAAACTGTAAAAACTGTGATAATAACACACAATATCTGTCAAAATATTCTACTTTTTAGCTGATTTCAATACAATAAAACTGTGTAATTTTATGGCCACACATTTAAAAAAAAAATACAATTTGTAAAAAATACAGGTTTCACTTTACTAGATAGCATCTGTAATTCACATACATGGAAACATCCTTATTAGACATTTCTCTTTTGAATAATGGTAAATATCTGTGAAATAATTTGTTAAATTTAAATATAGTAAAATAATGTAATTTTACTGTCAAATGTAAAAAAGTGAATTGCTATTTGTAAAAGTACAGATTTTTGATGTGATGGTTACACTTTTGGTCTGTTTTTTCTCAAAGTTGTCATTTATATTAATTTATTTTTTGCTATTTTGTAAGTCATTATCTGTAATTTACCAAAACAGAGAAGATCTGTAAGGTAACAGAAAGTAGTTTTTAAAAAATACAGTTAATAAACTGTTAAAAAAAAACAACAGCAACAAAAAAAGTTGCTTAAAAAAGTATGTTCTTGCTCAATAAAATTGTACGCTTAAAATGAATGAATCTGGTCACAAGGGTTACCTCTTTATCTCTAGAACGCTGCAGATAAGACACAACAGATGATGATAACTACAGTTATTTCATTGATTCAGTAGAGGCCTTCATCTGAATTAAAGCTTGTATTATGCGGCAGTATATGATTAATCAGAGATTATGTTTTGTGTGTTAGGTTACAGTGTGCTGCTTTTAAAGGAGAATATATCAGCAACACATGGGATCATCAGGTTCATTCATAAAGGTGGCTTTAGATGACTGCAGTGACATGACATCGGTCCATACAAATGCATTTCCTTGCTAAGAGACAAATACCTTTCTTCAGGCATTACCATTTGTTGTCTTCTTGTCCAGCCTCCCAACCCAGTGACCTTTTCTGACTGAATGTTCTTGTGCATCTGTCTGGTTTTAGGAAACAAGATGGGAGTGACCCCCGGATATCTGCGACACTAGAGCCCCAGCTGTTCCAGCCCACGCTCCCATACACCAGCTCACCAATCCACAAGGTAGGAGGAGAAGTAGGGTGAGCTGAGTTTGACCCCTGACCTTATCTGATAGACCTCTGGGTGACCCTCCATTCTGTGATCTTTGCTAGGTGTCTCTGCTCATCTTGTCTCTACACCTGCTTCTGTCTGGATGCACTTACCCACTGTCTGTGTTTTATCTCTCGTGATGTATTAGATCCAGTCTCTCTGCTCAGAGTGTTACTTTGATTTTTGTTCTTGTCTTCGTTCGTGTATCTTGTGTAATTAGAGCTCACAGAGCTTGGTGTCTTGAAGGATTATGTTTGACTGATTCAATTAATAGAAATCTATTTTTAGCAGGAAATTGTCAGGCTGATGCAAATAACTTCTCAGTCCAAACCTAACAAGTCTGATAGCATCACAGCAACCAAATCACAGCACGTCTAACCAGTTGTCATTTTTAAATCAAAAGACAACCTTCGTCATCCTACTATGATGGGTAAAGCCACTGATATATTATTACTTTGTATGGGATTTCCAGCAATCCAACAGTTTTTGTGCTTTTCTAAGCAATGAGACAATTGTGCTTTAGTCTTAGTTAATAGTAATAAGCTATTTTTGCAGGCTTTTTTATAAGGCTAAGATCAAATGTGCAGACTTTTGCTCTTCCAAAGGGTGTTTTTTAGCTTGCAGCACATTTCCTATTATATATTTTTTAAAAGATTCACTCAAAGAAAGTCTTATTCAATTTGTCTCCAGCGCACTAAAACAGTTTTCAAATACTTTTGAAGATTTTTACCATTTAAGAAACAACCATGCTTGATCTATTGTTCTTTCTTTCAGAGGAAACTGTATGATGAAAGAGGAAATGGCTGTTATTGTTGATGCAGAATTTAAAGGGCAAAACATGTAAATGACTGAAGAGGAAACCATTCCAATAAATCTGTTTTGACTGCCACAGTTCTTAGCGAATCCATTTTGCTGTCAAAATTGCTGTGATTGATGTGAAAAATCTGCCAGGATATTTGAGGAACACAGAAACTGAAGACATCTGAGCTGTGTGATGATTAAAAGTGGGTACAGTCTCGCTCATGTCGGATTGGTTTCATACTTTGGAATGGGCTTTCACTTCTCACAATCTGACTTGATCTGAGGAGAGCAGAGGGAGTGGAAAGAGAAAGGGATTAGGAATTAAAGAATTTAGAGATTGGGTTGTTTAAACAGTCACTCCTGATCTGTGCAGCACACACCATCTGTAGCTACCTCAGACTTGCTTGTACAATTACTCAGACATGAGGAGAGGATTTTGGAAACTTCTGTTTGTCTACAGATTTGCACGACATGCAAAGCAAATACAGCTACTAAAGATGCTGATAATGGCATTCCAAATGTGCCTTACAGTGTTTTTTGCACACCCTGCAGGAGAACAAGCATGAAAATGTTGCTTTACAATTGATTTAGAAATACTGTCCTACACTCTAACAATTACATTTGATTTCCAATCGAGGAAAATGAACTAGTGGGAGAGGATATTGACGGACAGCATGGTAATGTGGTGTACTGTAGTACAATAATGGCTTAGTAGGGCAAGACTCAGAGGAGCGTATCACTTTAATCGGAGCCCTGTGAAAACCAGGTCAAGCTGCAATTAACCCAACCAGGTCTTATGGTCACTGCCTAATTCAAACTACCCTGATAAACAGTTATATTATAATATTCATCTAGCATCTTTTTAAGAGATGGAACACAAATGTGCAAAACCATCATCACTTTGAGAGTTTTATGTGCTGTTTCCTATCACAAGCTTGTTAAATAAATACAAGACAAGGCAGTTCTAAGTTGCTAGTAACCCAGTTCCTTACCAAACAGGTTTAGTAGCACACTTACAGTAACAGCTTAAATTAGCCTGATCCGTTAAGTTTGTCCACAGCTCATAGACAGTTTTGCCTCAGTAATTTTGGGTGGGGTTTCTAATGAGAACAGTGACGTTACGATACAGCCTTTTTTACACCAATCAGGCTGGTTTCCAACAGACCTTGTTGAATTTGAGATGTCAGGATGATTTAAAGCAACCCTAAAATAACTGGAATGAAAATTCCAGAAGTAAGAACCAGACATACTGTGCATCAAAGAAAAACAACAAAATAAGCCCCAGCATGATGCGTGATGCACTCATGGAGCTGATCAAAAGTTTTAATATGAACAAGCACAGAGTTGCAGTGAACAAGTCTCAAGGAGTGAGGAGGTCTTGCGCATTTAATTTGCCTCTTGTCGTAATGATGATCTTATTAGCTCTCACAATGGAAGGTCACAGTTCTGACACCTGCACCATGTGCAGGCCTGGCTCCCTCGGGATCCTCAATCCTCCTTCACTCTGTTTATGAATATGTTTCTGCAAAAATTAGATGTCTTGTTCACGGTTGTTGTTTGTTCCCTGCTGCAGTTTGCATGTCCCTTTTAATCATTCGTTTCCCTCCTTTGCCTCCTGAGCTCCCACATCATTTTTGTTCTCAGCTGATGATCTTCTAATTTTTGAATGTCATTTGCATTCATTTTATGTTTGGGCATTCTAGTGTAACAGTAACAGTTTATAGGTCCTTTGTAAACATTGTTGTAGCAGTTGTTCTATGAGATAGTAAAACTCCACCTCTGGCTACCTGTGAGCTTAAGGCAAGATAAAGTTAGTGAGGAAGACAGAGGTGGGTGATCTGTGCTTTGGACTTCTTCGTGCAATGCTACAGAGAGAAAGATAAAGTGACAAAGAAGGATCAGCAGAAGGCAGGACACCTCTACCTTAAGTTAGAGGATCACAGCTCTCAACTTTGAGCAATAACAGCTATTTTGCATGCAACCTGAGACATACACTTGCTGAAAATCTTGTCTGTGCTCACACTGGGAGAGCCTGTGGATCTTCTCTCCAACTTTGTCTGATCCGACACCTTGTCAGCCATGGTTGCATTTAGCTGGGATGCAGCTTTACATCACCTGTCACAGTAGGACGCAATCATCTTTCTACCATTTGGCACAGCAGTTCTGAAGAGTTTAATCCAAACCTGTAGAAGTCAGTGAAGTTGCAACATCTTTGATGCTGCAGGACTCTGGTTTAAGGAGCGTTTAAAATGGCAAAAAATCTTGACAACTACAACCATGCTCAGATGGTGACAAAGACACACTGGAGGAAACCCCTCTATGTAAGTACATTTATTTTAGGAACATGCAGGGTAGAAAAATGACTAGATGACAAACTAGAGAGGAAATGTGGCCGCATTTTAAGTAAATTTTTGGACAATTGCCTTTCAAAATTGATATTAGTGCTGCAAATGTGAAACCTGAGAGTTCATATAGGTTGTTGATTAAACAGATGACTTAAAGAAATATGTGTCTTTGCATTCTAACATTTCTAGTGCTTCTATCAGGAACAGATAATGTTAAATAAGATTTATGTAGACACACACTTTGATGGCTAGTGCAGTTTTTGTTAAAGTCCAAAGATAATATGTAGCTCAATACTACAGCTCTCTTATTCTAATCTCTGGTTAAAGCCAGTGTTGTTTACCTTTAGGGTTTGTGGCAGACTATTGTTTGCACATGGTGGAGGACTTTACTCACACTGAAAGCTAAGACTCGATTGCTCTGTACACAAAGTATTTGACTATGTCAGGCATTGCAAGCTGAACCTTTCAGCCCTTTCTTAACTACTCCAAACCGATATGTCCACGGACTGTTGTTGTTCAGCATTTTTTGCAGCGTTCAGAGTCATTTTGCTGAACTGATGCATGCAAGTTTTGCATGTGAAAGTTTTTCAGGACAATATCCCAACAGCTGTGGCTGTTCTAAAGAATTGGGTGGGTGCTTTCTATGGAAAAGCCAGGTGGTTCCACATGACTGTGTAATAGTGTGACAAACCACAAGGGAGAGGCCAGATCATGTTCTGCATTAAGGTAAACTGTTAATTAAAATAAATATGAGACTGGAGTTTGGCAGTGACAGAAATTGTGGGCTTTACCAGCTTTATAACATCAACAATACTGCACTTTGCTGTCGTAGTTTTACTGAAGGAAAACATTCACATAAATGTATTAAGCAATTATTCCTAATGTTTTTATTTTTTAACTGTTTAAAAGGTGTTCTTACTGTTGTTTTAGCAGCTTGATTTTTATAAAGAAGTCCATTACAGAAAATGTCACATTCTCACATTTCTTTTTGGGGCTTAGAGACCCCCTACTAACAGAGTGTTTTCGTAGTCTCTGTGTCTGTGATAGGTGCTGACAGTATGCAGCACTGCTCCTCTGAAATCTCTTATGAGTCAGTTTGGATTAATGTTTGTTCATAATGGGGAGTTAAACTTCTCTGGGGTATAACATCAGGAACATCACTATGTAGAAAACACACTATATTAATTTTGTTTAATGACTCTCAGTGCATAAAAGGATTTTTTTCATCCACTACCCATATAATCATTTAATATATAGTATATGCTGTATTGTCTATGTAATGTTCAATCCCTGTAATAAGATAATGTGATCATAAGTAAACCTGATATGATAACTGACAAGTAGGATAATGTTGCACTTATAATCATTGTTTTTTAAAACAAAGTGCAGCAACCAGGCAACAGGAAAGCAAACATAATGCCACAGAGATGTGTTTTCTTGTCACTGGATGGAGAGTGATGCTGCACCAAACAAGTCGTTGAATCTTGAAAAAAAAAAGTGTTAAACCTTCACTAACTCCTGTAGAAATGAACCTTCACACTCAATAAATGAACTCAAAACATTTCATCTCACTCTCCTCTCTCCAGACCACAGATTTATTTGAAATGATTGAAAAGATGCAGGTAAGATGATGCACTGATCTCTGTATTTATGCCTCGGCTCACTAAGCTGCACTCACTAAGCAAACTAACCAGTCAGTGTGTCTCTTCCTAATTCTGCAGCACTTTGGCTCTCTCCTCTGCTACAATACGCATTATCTTTCAGTGCATGAGAAGGATGTTGAGTGTGGTGGTTTCAGAGGAGAGTTGTCAGAGCAGTATGTTTTTCTCAGTGTCTCTGTTAACATTCTGGTTGAAACACTGGCTGACAGCACTGTAAGCTTATTATCTCACCTCAAAAGCTCTCACATGGTTTTTGAAGGCTTTGGAAGGGAGGTTTTATTTCATCATACAATCCCACACATAATGTGCTAAGAGTTTTATGATAGAGCTTATCAAAACTTAGAACGTTTTTATGCACGAGTGTGTGCAATTTGTACATTAGTGATGGAGGACACGTTTCCAAAAATATTAAATCAGTTGCAGTCGTAACAGCCTCTAGTGGCCCCCAAACTTATTCCTGTCTTGCAGTGTATTTTGGCATGGCTGAATGTTTTAAAGAGGAATATTCTTCTTCAGCATGGTGTGTGATGCAAAACTGTGTCTTTTCCACAGTCAGACAACGTATTGATAAGATGTATCGTCTTCCCTGATGGCAGGCGCCGTCACCTTGCCCTGACTTAGTGTCACTGCATCTCTTTCTCTGCATCGATCCTCCTCACTCTCTTTCATGCACACATGCATATACATTTCAGGTGCAATGGGTGATTCAGTGTAGGAGTGATACTTAGCTTTGCATCTTTATAATCTCTGGGGTCTTATTCGCACACTTCTGCACCGTCTTTAATAGACTTTTCTCACTCCCCAGTGCCCGCTATTCAGCATCTGTAATTGTTTTTCAGTATCCTCTGTCTCTGTATGTAATGTATCTGTTTCTGTTTTCCCATCTGCTCCTTTTTGACTTTGCTTTCTTGCCTGCTGCACATCTTTTGGGAAAACTGTGTTGTTACATAATGAGTTTGATCATTTTCTCCCAGTTTGTTTTGTTGTTTAGATTATGATTATCACACGGCTTTATGTAGATTTTTTTGTTTTTGGTTGAATTTTGTGTGGGCTTTTTTTTTTAGTTTTTATTTTTTTAATGCTAGTGTTGATGACTAAATGTGACCCTTCTCTCTCTCTGGTTTTCTCATCTCACCCTCCCCTCTAATAGGGCAACAGGATGGATGAGCAGAGATGCACCTTTCCACCACCGCTCAAGGTACAATTCTTCACGTCGGGATACAGTATTTATTCACGCCATGTGGCCATTGTCCACGGCTGCTCCACCTTATCTCACTCTGACAGACAGGGAGATTACTTCAGCAGCAGTGTTTTTCATAATGAACTGAAATGCCCACTTGCGATAGGTAGTTCGGATTCTGATGCTACTCTCTGCAGACTGGAACGGTGACAATGAATTTAACAGGATGTGACGACAATGTGAAGCAGCATTTCAAACCGTCGTCGTGCCAAATAACGGCTTTGATCAAGAGGTGCATTGATTCCTATGTCACTGCAAAACAGACTTTCATTGCATAACAGTTATGCAATTACTCTGAAACAGCCTCCTTTGGGATTATGGAGTTGGACATTGTGGTTATTTTTATTCTTTGATGAGAAAAATTCCGTTTTTCTCTGTTTTTTGTTTTTTTTTTCCAGACGGAGGAGGACTACATTCCGTACCCAAGTGTCCACGAGGTAAGGCGATGTCTTGTAGTTGCACATTTCCTCATTAGTGCTTCATTTTCTGCGTTGAAATTACTTTGACATTTACACAGTTCAGTGCATTGATGCTTGCTGTTTTACATTTTGAAACAGGTGTTGGGGAGAAAATGCCCTTTCCCTCTCATCCTCCTGCCACAGTTTGGAGGCTACTGGATCGAGGGGACCAACCACGAGCTGAGTGATACAGTGGACACAGAGCAGCTCCAGCCTCTGTCTCCGACCACCCGCACCAAGCTGGAATGTAACACAACGGCTACACTCTTCCGGAAACACTTCCTGGGAAAGGTTAGACACTTCTTGCACAACAGATAGAAATCAACTTTTGTTCAGTTTCATTTCATCATTCACTCATTCATAATGTCACTCGCTACATTATTTTGTATTGTTATCCTCAAACAGAAACCATGAACTGCAAAGACAATGTCTGTGATAATGTGAGCAAGCTCAAAAATGTTTTATATTATAAAAACACAACTATTAAGATTAAAATAGACAATGTAGGTGGGACAGTGCTAAGTGATTTGTGAGGGTTGATGACAAAAATCCAAATATATTCTCTAAGAAATAATAATCAATTCAACTGATTCAGTCAGGTTTCATAACTAAACTATTTTCACCATCCTGTTTCATATGTGTAAAATCCCTTGTAACCTAGATCGAATGTCTTGCATGGGTTTAGTTTCCCCATTATTTCATTTCTGAACAGTTTATGCATGAGCATGATTCATGAAATCATAATTTAGCAAAGAAAACTTTATCTTTAAATTTTCTTTAAGTCAGCAGTTCACTTAAAAAGAACAAAACCAAAAATGAATATAGCATGGGGGGCATGTTTCTTCATTACAAAAGATATGAGCATGTTAGTTATAAAAAAAAACAAATAGCAGTTGTCTCTTTCACACTTTTTTTCAACACTGCTACTTTGCAGAAACAATCCTCCAGAGTGTGATCGCTGTTTGTAGCTATTTCTAAATGAACTGTAGTGCCTATATTTAGCTAAATGAACTAAATAGGGCTTAGAGTAGACAATATTTGTTATAAGAATCAGTTTTATTGTTGGTTTTGGTCTTTTTATGTGATTTGTTGATGATGAAATCACCACAGTTATCCTTTAAAAATTTAAGTATATCTTCTTTACATGAATTTACATGAATTTGGAATTGTATCAAACAACATTCTGCATTCAAAACAAATGTCTGTAATAGTTGTTTTAATTTCTGTAATTGTTCCCTCCCGCCAACAATGTCTGTAACGTTGGGAAAAACTGAAATTAACATTAACATTTTTATTTTATCCCTGCTTTTAATTTGACTTTTTGACCTTAGTTCACAGTTTTCCTCACTTTCATTTTTAGTTTTAAAACCTTGCAGTTCACTATAATGAAGGAAACTAATTGTGCTTGCTTTCTAATCATGTCAAGTCTTAATTTTTTTCAAGAGATTTGTTTTCTTCCAGAGTGATATTACATGAATGCTCTCATTACAACAGCTTCCTTCCTCCTCAAATGACTCTCATTACTCTCATAGAATATTTAGCAATCACATTGACTTCTTGCTCATTTTAGTAATGAAATGAATAAGAAATAAGCTAATCCCAACATAGTAAACCGCTAACAGCAACCATCCTCACGGTTTGGCTCTGCATTCGCTGTTGCTAATGAAGATGCATTAGACTTTGCCACCTGTTCTTACACAAACATTATATGGACAAATTTGGTTTGCACGTGGTAGAAGAGCAGGAGAAAATGTCCACTGATTAGAAAGGTATTGACCGGTGCACATTCACATGTGTCGGTTTATGACTGATACTAATGGCGGTCTCCTTGCACTGTTCCCCCAGGAACACTTTAATTACTATTCAGTGGACAGTGCCCTAGGACATCTGGTGTTCTCCCTAAAATACGATGTGATTGGTGACCAGGAACATCTCCGTCTAATGCTCAGGTAACGCTCATTATGCACACATGATTGAGTGCAATGAGGCTTCATTTGCAGGGAAAATAGTCTGTGTGGTGCACATCAGCATCTGAAGTAATGGATGAGTCGGCTTAAAAAACATTTCATCTCTTTCATGACCAACAAGGCATAGATGCAGAATAATCTTTTGTGTGTGTGCGTGTGTGTGTGTGTGTGCTTGTGTGTTCCTGAAATGCCCAGTATTGACCGGATGAACACATCCTCCCCGGGCGTTATCGTAAGAGTCATAAAGCTAGAGAGAGTTTCAACAGCACTGTCATTTCCACAGCAGAGTAACAGATGGACTATTTAGGCCAGCGAGTGGGTGGGGATGGAGGGAAGGAGAAGGGGAGGGAGGGAGAGAGAGAGAAGGCAAAGAGAGGCGAGGGTGGGGAAGTTTGATGATAGTCCATACCGGATCATCTCTTTGCCATATGACAGGTTCTGAGAAATGCTGCATCATGTTATATGGCCACTGTAATTGTTTTATGACTTCACCAGGACAAAGCTGAAAACCTACCATGATGTGATCCCCATATCGTGTCTCACAGAGTTTCCCAATGTGGTCCAAATGGCCAAGGTGAGGAGAGATGGTTTTTGTTATGCAGAGATTGACCTGCTATCACTCTGTCTGAGCACATTCTGACCTTTTTTCTCCCCCACTCTTCTATCCAATCCAAGCTTGTCTGCGAAGAGGTCAATGTGGACCGCTTTTTTCCTGTCCTTTACCCAAAAGTAAGTTCTAGTTTGTATAGTTCCAGCTGCTGTATGCATCCTTTCCAGTTAAAATAAACAGCACGTAGTGTAGCCCAAAGGAAACTAAATGAATATTAGCTTCAACTTGATTTTTCAATATATATTTGAACAGCGCTGTGGAGTTTATCACTCATTACTTAGACTACAAGCACATTCGCGAGAAATTTCTCAACAGCCAGTATGAAAAGTGTTCAAATTGGCACCTGACTATTTTTTTTAGAAGATCTTTTCCCACATCTATTAATAGCAGCAGAATAGACAGCGACAGAAACTGCAGAAGTTTTTTTTATTTTTCTATCACAAACTCAACATCTGTGAACATATCTCCTAATGTTTCTCCTTTTTTCTCTAATTTTTACAGGCTTCAAGACTAATTGTCACCTTTGATGAGCACGTGATAAGCAACAATTTCAAGTTCGGGGTCATCTATCAAAAGTTTGGACAGGTGAGTAACGGTGCTGCAGTAATGTATCATTTACATTAAGCGAGTGTGTACGTTGTAATTTCAGATTTCCTCATGGAAGCTAATTATGCTCAGTCCTTCCCAGTCTTAATTATGCCTTTCACTTGAGGCCAGTCATTGTGGAGTCCACTCCAGCCTTCTCATTTTCTGAGGCAACACGGCCCACTTGTTTACTATGTGAGGGGAGGGGCAAAGAGCTATTGAATGCTCTTCCAAGGGCACTCGTACCTATAAATGGAGACGTCGCTGCATAGAGATCTGCACTGTTGATCTCACGAAACCTACAGAGATGCAAATACGTTGTTAAATATACAGTAAATAATCCAAGAGGCCATCTCTTGAAGACAGTGAAGCCCCTCTGCTCATCCTCTAACACATATTATAATCGTGAGAGGTGCCAAGTGGAGGAAGACGTTATGGTTAAGTAGGTATATTGCATGAACAAAACAAATTATGAACACTCAGTGAGCAGCGGAAGAGTCCTCTTGTTTCCATGTTTGTGTTTTGCAGCAGGCTTTTGTGTTCACTTCAACACTCCAGTAGGTGACAATAGATAATCAGCTGTCCATCACAGCTTATCATAATCACAAGCTGTCCTAAAGCCTTTCTCTAAATGTTCTGTTACACCTACTTCTGTAATTGATCGAAGCCACCTCTGTCGAATCCAATGCAAATGCAGCGTATTTGAACAAGAGAGCAGGACACACAGCAGACACACACTTTCCACTTGCTTCCAGTTATAGACCCTAATGGTCTGCATGCAGTGAAACAATACCTTACATAGAATGGTGCTCACATTTCCTCTCAAACATGTCCTTAAACATTCTTTATTTGTAATGCCGACATTAGGTGTGTTCTTATTGACCTACACTCTGTAGTAGACATGCAAAACATACTGAACATTTTGTATCCGTACCTGCTGAAATAGTTTTCTCCTCCAAGCTTTAATATTTGTTTTTTGGGTTTTTATTTTTTTTTGCTGGTTACAGACTTCAGAGGAAGAGCTGTTTGGCAACAGTGAAGAGAGTCCTGCCTTTGTAGAATTCCTGGAGTTTCTAGGAGAGAGAATTGAACTGCACAACTTTAAAGGGTAAGGACCCAACAGTGGTGTGAAGGCACTAAATATATTCAGCAATACACAACATGATGCCAACTGCAATTTGCATCATACCAGGCAAGCTACAGGAATGATGGTCATGCTACTGCAGTGATGGTGGAGAATATCCTGTTAGACATGGTTCTGTGTGCTTGCAGTTTCCGCGGAGGGTTGGACGTGACTCATGGGCAGACTGGCACAGAATCTGTCTACTGCAACTACCGCAACAAAGAGGTCATGTTCCATGTGTCCACAAAGCTGCCTTACACAGAAGGGGACACCCAGCAGGTACTGTAATTTTTATACCACACTAACACACCTTTCACGATTGATAGCAAGCAGTCAAACAGGTTCCCTCTGCATATCACAGATTCATATTTTCCACAAACATCGCTGTTGTGTTAAAAAATACCCAAAACAAAACAAAACTGCAGCACATTAATGCAAAAAAAAAAAAAACACACACTAGTAGTAAACATGTATCACTTCAAATTTATGTCTTAGTGTCTGCACATGCGAGCAGCACTCCTCCCTCGCAGTGATTTAAAGCTGAGACGCAGCACTGCATCACTCACACAGCCAAATCCTACTCCTCTTCTGGCTCACGTATTCACACAAACACTGAATAATTGGCACAGGCTCACACGCCATTTGTGATCATGTTTTGCACAAACACAGATGAGACAATGTCTATATGTTCACTCTTTCCAGCAGTAGTGGGTGTTACATATGGGCTACTTTGACCAAACAGTGCTTATTCAAGCTGCCATCAGGGGAAGCTGCGCTCCCTGGTGGTGAGTCACATACTCACAGCTGGGAGACTGGGAGAGGAGGAAAGACTGAAGAGTGAGCCCTTATTTTAGAATCATGTGTTATTTCTATAGTGTTCATTCTTCACAAAACAAAGGTATTGGTCTAGAATGAAAATCAGTTTTCAGTTTATCTTTTGTATTGATCACAAAATACTGCATAACTACATATTTTTCTTTTACTGCCCCCTTTATATATTTTTAATTTGTTTCCAGGATGCATTAAATAAGATGATAAGTTTGGCTCACTGAAACCAAATAACATTTATGCATTTAATTCTACATTTGGCATCAATATTAACAGTATAAATGTACCTTCTTTCTTCTGTGTGGCTATTGTGTTGCAGTTGCAGAGAAAAAGGCACATAGGAAATGACATCGTAGCCATTGTATTCCAAGAAGAAAATACTCCATTTGTACCAGACATGATCGCCTCCAACTTCCTCCACGCTTACGTTGTGGTCCAAGTGGTCAACCCCTGTTCTGACAATGTTCTCTATAAGGTAATGTATTTCCCCTTTCCCCTCTTTTACATCTTTTCCTGTGACTGTACTTAATCTCCATCTTACTTCCTAGGTGTCAGTGACTGCACGGGATGATGTACCTTTCTTTGGCCCAGCGCTCCCAAACCCTGCTTTCTTTAAAAAAGTACGATAAAGAAGAGCTTTTACACTTGAATTATTGCATCCTCTTCTCAGTGACTTTCCCCCACCTTGGCCAACTTGTAGTTTTCAACAGGATGCCTTGTCTCTCTGCTCCACTCTTTTCAGGGCCCTGAATTCCATGAATTCCTTTTTACTAAGCTAATCAATGCAGAGTACGCCTGCTACAAAGCTGAGAAATTTGCCAAATTGGAGGTGAGTTGTTCAAAAGCGTTTCATTACATTACATTTCAGTAATTTTTGCATTTCTGAAAAGATCCATAAAAAGTATAACTTGCTTCCCTTTGTTTCTTTTACTTCTCTGTCTGTGTGTAAGGAACGAACAAGGTCGGCCTTGTTAGAGACCCTTTACGAGGAGCTCCATGTGAACAGCCAGGCCATAATGGGAGTTGGAGGAGAGGACGACAAACTGGAAAACGGGAGTGCAGGAGGAGGGGGCTTCTTTGAGTCTTTCAAGGTAACTGGAGAGGCAGGAGCAGAGGCTGGGGCTCCAAACTGGCAGCTTCGCTTCCTGGAAAGGTCTTGAAAAGTTAAAGTTTCTTTTTCCCTTTGCAAAGTCTTATTTGTTACAAAATGCAAGTCTGTGTTTTACTTATGCTAATGCTGCAAATGGAATGCTGTCATTGATGCAATTTTACTTTAAGTCCAGCGGTTTAACTTAATATAATGAATGGAAAAAAGGGAAAGCAGAAAACCTGGCACAGAGTCAGGCAGTTTTTTCAGACACAAGAATCCGTTTTGCTCCCTGTAAAGGAAGTCATTTCTACTTTTCAGCTTTTGTATGGATTAAACAAATGAGATGTGCTGTGCTAATTCCCAAGCTTCAGCGCTTTTGTCACTTTTGCACAGCCCATTGTTTCTGTTCTTTATGCTAAGGTAAGATGGCTTGCTGCTGCTTGTAACTATATATAGCAGATTTGAAAGTAATATTGATTTTCTCATCTAACTCTCAGCAAGAAAGCAAATAAGTGTATTTCCCAAAATGTCAAACTGTTCAAACCGGTATAATACAATATAGATTTGTTATTATGACACTGTAAAGATCAGTGTTGCTGCAAACAGTGCAAAAGCGGCATTTACCATTTTTTTCACCTGCTGTCAGATTTTTTATTTTTTTTTTATCTGAATGAAAAAGGGTGGCTTCTCACTGGCAGTATTTCAGGATTAATCTTGCCTCTATGCAAGCTGTGCTCTAAGAGCTTTATCAGTCTCCCTCAATCTGTATTAATCTGAATGAAGAGGAGCTCTGCTGCTCTGTCCTGCTGCAACACACCACTCTTTACGTCACAGTTTTTCTTCCTCATGCTTCCTAGCTGTTTTGTGATGCAGTGCTCTCCACACGCTTCAGTTCTGTCATCTTCGTTTGTCATAATGTCAGAAGGAATGGATAGATTTCTTTCACCATCAGACGTCTCTGCCTTCCTCCTTTGCCTGCAAAGAGGCGCAATGGGCTTTAAACTTCTTCTGGCTGTGTTTAAACTCACTGTGGTCAGGCATCTGTGAGCCACTTGGCCCTTCTACTTCCCCTCTCTTCTCTTACCACCTACCTACACATAATGACTCATCTGAACCCCCCTCTGGGCACTAAAGCTTAAGCAGTGTTCTCTGTCGCTTCCTTGTCTGTCAGGATTAGCATCAGGCCAGTGCTCTCTGCCTGTAGTGGTCAGTGTTCAGGGAAAAGCCCCGAGGCTCCTCTCGGCCTGAATGGCGCACAGCGATACAGAGGGGTCACAAGGCTCAGCGCCATCTGAATGTATCTCCTCCTCCTCGTCTCTCTCTGTAGCGAGTGGTCCGCAGCAGGAGCCAGTCTATGGATGCCATGGGTCTTACTTTCAAGAAGCCGCACACAGTCTCCACTAGCCTGAGCAGCACCTTTAACCACAACCCCGCAGACAGCCCCAAATTCCCAGGGATAGTAAGTACAGTCCCACTCCTCCTGGTATTAGGTGAGACGAGCATCGCTACTTCTGCCACCCCCAGCAGCTCTACTAGAATTGATGCCCCCCTTCTCCCTCACTTACCTCCTGCACTCACTTCTCACACTGAGGGGCTGCACGCTCTGTCGAAGGCAGCATTTAGTCCAGGTCTTAACCTTGACTCTCACGTGCAGTGCTTGCACATTGTCTGCCACCACAAGGTGACTGGACACTCATAGAAGTGAGTATGCGTAGGACACAAGGTGAATGTCCTGGGTTAAAGCTGCTTCTAATGCTTTTTTAAAAAACTGTGTTCACACAAATGCATCTGCATTGTTCATACGTGCTCACTTGAATTCAAAGACGTTCTCTTTGTGTGAATGCGTGTATATGTGTGTACGTGTGCATGCTAGCTAAAGCTTGTGGATGTTGATTGTTTGATTGAGTAATAATCCTGGATGAGATATGATGGAATATTTATGTCATCAGGTGAAGACGTTGTAACCTTAATATGCCATCTTTTTTTGGCATTTTTTTTAGTTTATATAATTGATTCTTTGGCAAGAACTGTTTTTCAAATTTGTTTTCTGTTTTTCAAATTTGTTGCTTTCACCTAATTTGTATTTACAAAGTCTTCACTCTAACTATGCATATGGTTGCCTTTCTGTAACAGGATTATTTCATCTCTAATCATCAAGGGCCTCTGTTCAACCATCTCTGATTTGTTTGAAAATATAGATATTTAAAACGGTATTTGTAAAATTTTAGATTCATCTATCAAGTACTTCCTGTAAGAACAATATACAAAAAAACCCCAAAAAACAATTCCCCACTTTCAGCACATTTTTTCCCACATTGAAATTTGAGGCTATATTTGGAGGAAGCATACTTGTTACTATTGTTATTGTGTTTGGAGTAGAACCATTTTGAAACTCCAGAACTCTGGTTTATGGTGTATCTTGCAATATTTTTTGTTTTTGTCCTACAATTTTCTTTTCTTGCCTTCATCAGTTATGAAAGCAACCTATTTTTTGTGACCAAATATTTCATATTCAAAAGTATTCCATATGCCTTGTTTTTTGATATTGTGACATGCAACTACATAAAGTTTAAAAATAGCACTAGTCGACCTGCACTATCATTTTTTTTTGTTAATTTGAACTCAAAGGTGGGTCTTTTTTATGATGCCTTCATTTTATTCACATTTTAACTCACCCATAAAAGACTATTTGATCTACTTGTCCAACATTGCAGATTCCAAGTTCACGGAATGATGAGAAACAACAGTGGAAATGTCAGTCTTTTATCTTTAATATCTCCTGAGATGTTGTTGTTCAAACAGCCTCAATTTTTTTTAAAAGTGTTGAAAGGGGGTTGATACACAAGTTTAAAATTCTACAAATCACCATATTTTGTGCTATAAAAATGATATGGAAACTCAGATCAGACATTCTTCTAGAAATTTGATGATTAGAGAAGGAATGACCCAATGTATACGGTATATTTTTAAAACATTGTGGGGAGTTATATTTTATACAGAATTCTGTGAATTGTCTGAAGTAAAAATCATGATGAAGTTGAATTTCTCTGCACAGGTCTTGTATACACTGGAAATAGACGCCCTCAGTGCAAAACTATTTTATTTCTGGATCACATGTCTGATTGCCTTCACAACTAACTAGCCATAATTATTAACCAACATGCTTTATTGAGTTTGTCTGAAGCTTGCTTCTGCCCATAACCCTGCCTTGATGTGAAACCTGATGTACAACACGCTGTATGTCCTCCTCTGCTATTTTAATCTCATCGTCTTTCTCACAGGCGTACGACTCGCATAACCGGTTTATCATTTCTCTCTCCCATTCAGCTGCCTGTGTTGCCCCCATGGAGCCAAAATGTCTTTACTTGTATTCTCCAGTTAACACATTTTGTGTTTTGTTTGAACAACATGACTTACTGCATGGAATCTCATATATTTGTATGTATCTCATGTTTTCTCTTCCCCTCCCTCCCCGCCCGTCTCTCCTTTGTCATCGCCACTCTCGCTGTCTCTGTCTTTTTCTGTCTGTGTCTCTCTATCTGTCTGTCTTTCTCTCTCTCCGTCTCTTCCCCTCCTGTGTGGTTCAGTCATTGCTTGTCCCAGGCAAAAGTCCCAGTAAATATGGACGCCGAGGCAGTGCCATAGGGATAGGAACAGTAGAAGAGGTTCATGTCTAATTCTAACTACTTTCTCACTACTTGCTTCCCTTGTTGGTTTCTTTTTTTTTCTTTTTTTTTTTGCCTGCATGGCTCCACTGCATCATGACCAAATACATTTTGCTAAACATTTCAGCTCCCCTATGTGCATTCAGTGTAGGATACACTGTGTGCTACAGACAGGATGTATCATACAAAGAGCATTACTTGAATCTGTGGTAAAACAAAAACACTTAAAGATATTCTTCTCCACATTTTCCAATCAATTAACTGCTTTGGCAAAGGTCACCTTTAGAATTGTACATACAGTGCCACATAGAAACTGTTCAGTGTTAAGAGATAAGCAGCTGTCTGATGTGAATATAGCATTTAGATGATAAAAGTCACATTTAAAATTGCCACACTTGGCTCCCCACACACTAACATTGCAGAATCCTTTTTTTTCTTCTTACTTTCTATCTGTTTTACTGCAGTATTTGTTCACCTTCTGTAGTCTTTTATGACTACGCTATATTTTTCATAATGTAGAGTATGCTTAATTCTCTATTTGCTTAAAAATTATGAATAATAATGATTTAAAAACCACCTTAGAGAGAAATGATTTTTTAAAAAAAAGAATCTTCTTCCTGTTCTTTGAAGCCATGTTGAATAAAAAGCTTTTTTCAAGTTCTTATTTTAAGAGCTTTAAAGGGGAGATTGAATGAACAAAGCAGGAGCTGAGAAAGCATATTTAGCGTTAGGCTCTGGAGCCTTTAAACCCATCTTTCATCTCCCGCCTTAGTGTGCTGTGCTCTAGCTGAGAGACTGCCACCAGGGCTTGTCATTAAGCTGCTAAGTGCATATTTTAACTTTTTTTTTTTTCATCATAGTAGCAACTTGAAGGGAGCAGTCTTGCTCTTCAACCTGGTAATTCAGGGTGATGCATTTTTGAATAGCATTATACAAATGAATGCATTAAAAATGAACAATTAAATGACTGAATGAGTAAAATAACCATTACCTGCACTTAGTAAAAAATAAATACATTGAACTGTTCTTGATATAAACTTGTTTTACTCTGAGATATGCAAGGTATTAGAGATATCTTGACTCTGGCTGACTGTTCTTTCACTCTCCCTGGCAGTCTTTGATAATCCCTGGGAAAAGCCCAACCAGGAAAAAGTCTGGGCCTTTCAGCTCCAGGCGAAGCAGTGCCATTGGTATTGAAAACATTCAAGAAGTCCAGGAGAAGAGGTGAGGGAAAACTCCTGTAAATATTTGCATGTACCCATATACCAATAATGTTCTACCTGCTTTACATCAGTAAGCCCTTTTGCTTTTTTCTGTTTTTTGATACTATTTTACATATTTTATGTCTAATGTAGTAGTAGAGATAACTCTCCGAATACTCAGAAGACCCCTGACAGTGGCCACGTCTCTCAAGACCCCAAATCTGACAACTCATCCAATCAGAGCTCTCCGGAGGTGCTCACAACCACCAAGAACAGGTGTGTACCATAGACAAGTGACAACAGTATCACATGGAACTAGATACACCATGTGTCGCTGCACCTGTGTGTGTGTGTGTGTGTGTAACTGCTGGGAAATCTTCCCTTGCAGCAACATGTTGTGTCACTGTGTCCTACACATAAGATAAAATCTGGCTTGGCTGCCCTGAAGAGTGGTTAACCCAAGGTGTAGTTCTTATCTCGTTGGCAGGGCTCCATCCATCCCTGAGGGTCACGACCTCTCCCGCTCCTCCTCCAACGCCAGCAGCTTTGCCAGTGTGGTGGAGGAGAATGAGACAGAGGCCACAGAGGACTATGACACTGGCATGGTGAGTGGTTATAAGTGTACTGCATTTGGGAAAGCAAGACAAGTGTATTTAAGTTATCACATACTTTTACAGGTGTCTTTTAGTTGAACCCTACGAACCCCAAGACCCACTGGCAGGTTTAAAAGCCATGTTATTGTTTTTAAACGCTAAAATTATAGCATTTATCAGAGCACAAAACTGTAAATCTGCAAGTCTGTGAATATATCATGCATGATGTATAGTTCCATACGGAAAATAAACTAAATCTGAGTTTAAAATCATATTACATTAAAACACTTTATTCTACATTTCTAATTTAAGTTGTTAAGCTAAAATAGATAATTTGGTTTAATTCTATAAAAAACTTTTAAAAATTCACCATCAAAAAAGACACCATCACTCACTTGGCTGTGATAAACAGTCACCTGACAGAAAATTAGGGGCTATTCAGCTGAACTGGGCTGAGCTACAGGTGTTGTTTATACAGATCATATAGGAAACAAAAAATATATATATAATAAAGTGTCTATGATCTGTAAAATCGCCATTTATTCCAGTATTGGTAAAACCTGTGGGCACTTGGACAAATGCAGTAGATGTTGTTTCCAGGTTTTTTACGATTTGCAAAATAAATTATCAAAGAAGTTCGACCTTGTTTTGTTTTGATATCAAATGACATTATTACCGTGTCATATTGCACAGAAGAAGTTTTTGTGTTCTCTCTATTTTTAGCTGTGGTTATGCTGTTTGTGAAAAATGAGACTTTAGTGAGATAAAATGTGACAGGAGCAAAATAATGCCCATAAACTGGCCGGGGTTAAGAGGGGTAATATGATCATCTGTGTACTCTCTCTAGGAGAGTCTGTCGTCTGCTGGGACGCCACACAAGCGAGACTCCCTCACCTACAGCACCTGGCTGGAAGACAGCATCAGCAGCACCAGTAACACGAGTCGTGGAAGCTCCCCAGGTGAGTGCGGTGGAGAACTTGGAGAACCAGATCCGGCATGAAAACATATTGTTAAATAAGACATACATAATGCATGCATTGCACAGACTAATGTGTCATGAATTCCAGTCGCTTACCATTAAGACATGATGAAGTCATTGTCAGTTATGACATTAGTTAGCACTTAATGGATCATACATAAAGACATGTTTACTCACTTGTTTATTGTTTCGTTTGGGGGCTCAGTGACATGACCTGGAGGCTTGCAGAGAAGGCAGTTAGATTAACAAGAGTTAATCAGAAAGAGAAGGTTGTACAGAGATGGACATTTTTTGTGACTCGATGGAAAAACAAGAGAAAGAAGAAAGATTAATTAATTTGTATTGTTATTCCTGTTGTACCAAACATGATGAAAGAACTCAGCTGATTCTAGATTTATGATTGTAATTAGGAAGTGAACAGGCCATTGCATAAATGACTAGGCTTGGTTTCTTATTTGGAAATTGCACACACAGTGATGTGCAGTTCAAATTACCACACCACTAATCTTAGTGAATCCTCTTTTCATTTTCTATAAGTGAAATATAAATTAGCATAAGTGCAAAACATGTAGCATTACGACTATATTTTTAGAATATCCTTTACTCTGTAATGTGTAAAACAATTAAAAATCCATTTTTAAATGCGAACAGCAAATTCTAAATTTTTTCTACCTAATATTTCCACACACAGTGCATTCCAATCTCTTCCATCTCTTAATATTTACGGTTAACCCTAAGTGCTTTCTAAGTCTGGTTATGACGAACATACAGAATATGACTGGTTTGAAACACTGCTGATCCGTCCTCCAGGGCCGGGCAAGCCTGATCGAGGGAAGGCGACAGACATTCGTATCAAACTGGAACGATCGAATGATCATCAGTCCTCATCAGTGAGTCAAACCAAACCTGCTCTAAACTGAAATCTTCTACCTGGGAATATCCATTACCCCTCTACATGTTTATTTTCTCCTAATGTACAAATACCCCAGGCAGTGACATGATATATAATCCAAACACCGACCAATCCACACATAGTAGTTTCTGTACTTATGCTCTGCTTTACTGCCCTGTAGCACTGCGTTGCTTTTTGTGTGTTGTTGCTGATGTTTGGTTTGCTCCGTCTTTGTGTGTCTCTATGAGCAGAACTGTTAGCTCCACATACCTGGTTGTATCCTGGATCTCCATCTTCAGGTGAGACTCTCCTCTCTACCCTCTCGTGGTCTTGGTCCACCAGAAAGACAGTAAACAGATAAAATCAAGCTAAACCAAATGCTGCTAGTAAAGATTCATTATTAATCTACTTCTGTGTAACTTTTAGTCCTATTTCTTGTTATCATCACGACGAAAGGTCAGAACAAAGACATATAACTGTTTCAAATGTGTAGTCATGAAATATCTTCTGACTTATTATTTTAATTCAGTGCTTTCTTGTATTTGTACCAACTCTGAGTTTTGACCAAACATCTCTCTTTTTCCAAAAGCATTCCCATAAGTCACAATCCTTCTGGGAGACGAGAGAATTGCAGACATTCGCCGTGACCAGTGACGAGAAGGAAGATGGTGGAAGACTGAAAAAGGAACGAGAAAGCAGATGGAGCCTGGCCAGTCTGCTGCTCAGTGAGGCAGGAGTGCAGCATATCCAGAAACCTGAGGGACACTGGAGAGGATGACGCACAGAGAGGGGCCAGCTTTTGCACAGTGTTGTTTCCTTTCACTTTTTTCTTTGCCTCTTCACACATCTGTTGCCTAGTTTTATGTTTTTCTACCTGACCTTTGTTTTCACATTTTATCAGAACAATGTAATTGTTTTATTTGTAAGAGGTATCACTATAATTCAGTTTGTCTTGTTGAAGCCTTGGTGTGCTGGCTATACAGGGTGAAGCAAGGTAAAGACAGTGCTATCATGCTCTCTGTTGAGACTGTGAGAAGGATTGTTGCTGCAACATTGAGAACAAGTTCCTGGATGATTTCACCAAATCAACCAAGGCATTGGCTTAACAAAGATCTTTAATGTATACATAATACCAAATATTTAGCATCAAAGATGAGTATTTTCTAACAAAACATTCAATGTGATACCAAGTTGCTCTGCTGGATGCTGTTTACTGTGAAGATTTTCTTGGTGAAATCCTGATATGAGGACAGTATAGCTGCAGCAAAACAACTGTACTCTTCCATCTGCTTCCCATATTTCCACAAGATTAGCTCTTAAACTTAACACCACAGGTCACAGTAAAGATAGCAATGTATCGTAAATAAACTGAAATGGCCTTAAATAAACTATTTCCTCGTTCTTCAGATTTATTTTACCTCACTTCTTTCACTCATGTGTTCTACAGCCAAGTGTGGGACAGCAGTATTAGGTTAAATGTAAAATTAATATATTTAGAATCATTTTAAGGACACTATTTTATTTTGAAAAATGGTGGCATAATTCAGTTGTACCTCAGCACTGTCTGTATAGTCTGCTAACATATTGATATATCCATCACTGAGTGATTTAACCGCTTTGTCCGTCTTGAATGTTGGTGCAAACACCAGTCTCAACATTAAGTTCTCAGATATTTTTTCTCTTTAAAATGTTTTTTTTTTTTTTATTTATTGATTTGGATCATGTTAAACTGGCATTTACAGCCCACATGTTATACTGTACCTCTATGGTGACTCCATTCAGCTCATTTGTCATATGCTTATATTGTATGTGTTGCTTTGACGTGAATTCTAATGTTGTCATCTGTAAATCTCTGTCAATTTTCAGGGGTCTTTCAGTGCAGTAAATTTGCAATGCAATTATAATAAAACAGTGAATATTTATTTGCTTTGAAAGTAAGAAAACAACTCCGAATACAACTACTGATTTTGTAAATAGATATTTAGTTGGAGTACATAGTGTATAATGTATAGACCATTGACTCAGCATTGGATTGACCAACACCTTGAAATTACTGCCAAGTTAACAATTTTACTGTTGTTTTATTTCCCGCACCCTTGGTTTTCAATATTATTTTGAGAGAGTTTTATAGAATACAATTATTTTCAAAGCTATTCAGACTGTTCTGTAAAAGGGAAACGCTCACAGTACATCCTGCTGATCATTTCAGTTGCCTTATGTCACAAACTGATGGTGTAAGTATAGCTAGAGAATCAAATAGTTATTAGCCAGCAGGATTGACAATGAAATGAATGTTTTGTTCTTGCTGTTTTTATTGTAAATAAATGCCCTGAAAACTTCACAGTCTATTATGTATACCCTCTCTTGCCCTGTATCACATTACTCAGTGGGAAATCAATATTTGACTTTAATTTTCCCAGTCAATACTCTCTCTCTCTCTCTCTCTGTTTGTGTGTGTGTGTGCGTGTGTGTGTGTCTTCCATGCAAATACAATATACTGAATGCTGCATAGTGAAAATTCCTGCTGTGAGATGTCTACATACTGTAGGTGTTCCACTTCCCACTATCTTAATGAAAACTAAGAGAGAAAGCCCCATGAATAAATGATTTGATGTGGCTGCCCACAAGTATGTATAACTAGAGCAATCTAAAAGTGGAGGCTTCCCTGGTTATAAAATCTGTGCCACATGAAAGGAAGAAACACATTCAGATTTAATGAGTCAAAGGGAAATAAAATTGCATCATGACTGAAATGGCTTTCCACGCAAATCTTCTCACGCAGCAATGAAGACACTGCAGCTTTACAGTAGAAATGAGGACATTAGTATCACATTTCTGCTTTACTCTGCACGTTTCTGTTTTACATGCTGATAAGAACTTGAAATAATGGGAAAACATAACTACTTTTCAGACAGCATTTAAAAAAAAAAAAAAAAAAGGAAAGTGAAAGTCAGTCTTTGTGCGTAAACAACTCCAGTAGTAAATTGTGCTCTGTGATGAAGTGCACATCAAGAGCATCGAGCCATGCTGCACTTTTGTTACCACATCACTTACTGGAATACCACAGTTGCATGAATGCCAAGTATAGTTTCAGATTTTTAAAAACATAAAACATACTTCTGTCAAATAATATGGTTGACACCGTTCTGTACTCAGATTTGTTTAGAAAAATCATTAGAAGAAGCACCACTTGGCAAATGTTGAACTTTCTGTCTCATTTATTTCCACTGGGCAGGAGGCAGCCATTTTTTTTTTATTTTGTAAGGGTATGAGAAAATATTAAAATGGAGAATGCCAATAAACTGCAGGCCTACAGTAAATAACAAATAGAGTCAAGGTAACTCAGATGCAGACTATTCCAGACATGGATTTCGTCTGTAATTTTGTTTTGCGCAGAATACTGTAGGGTAGTTTTGTTCATACTCATAAAAAAGTATTATACAGGTAAAGACCAAGTATAAAAGACAGTGTACATCATTGATTAATTTGGACACATTATTGTTAGTACTATTATTAGTACTAATATTTGTATTATTATACCTACTACTACTACTACTACTACTATTACGACCAATACTGCTACTAACTACTACTACTACTACTTCTAACAACGGCAGAAGTAGGTTCAGCCGGAACCATTGTCCACTCTAAGAAACAGGAACCGCCTTAACTTTTGTTGCACAGACCGGAAGTGGCTTATGAAGTCACATTGAAGTCTGAGACCGCGGCCACAGTAATAGCAGGTAACGTAACACTTTCCTTAAAGTTACCGACTTGATAATGTTCTTGTTACCAGATAGTCAATCGCAGAAATGCTCTTGTCTTTATATTTTAGCGGGAACGAGACTTCCGCGTCTTAACCGAGCTCATGGTGGAGCTACATTGCTAACTAGCTTATCGAGCTACAACGGCCCAACGCCGGCTACTAAAATATACTTTATTTATGTCAGTTTCTTTTGATGTTTTTATTTTCACGGTAGCATCGCTGCATCGTGTCGTTTTTATTTTAGGGAAGGACTTGACTGTCGACGAATCTCTTCTAGGGTTGATATGTCTGCATACAGCTTGCAACTGAGCCACAATGTCATTGTTGCTGAGTTGATAATAAATAATTCCCATGACGGTAAACGAAGTAGTGACAAAAAACCGCTTCGTTTCTGAAGTAAAGAAACTTTTCATAATGCTAATATTGCTAATACGATTCATTGCTGCAAGCCTCATTTTTAGCAGTGTGTTGACCAGATGCACCTACTGGTTGCACTATTGTAGAGCAGTCAGCCTGTTAATGATAGTTAAAATATTACGGACATGTTTACAGTGCATTGCAGTAACAATCTTGCATCTCATTCTAATTTCTAGTTATCCTTATCCTACCAACATTTCCTGCAAGGACTAACGAGTGGGGTCCCTGAGTAACAGGACTGCATATCATGTGACACGGAAATACAGTTTTGGTGTTTGCAATTTCCTAATTACATTGTTTCAAATTGCAATTTTGAAATAAAAAGCAATGACTTGTTCAGACCTATTGAATGTTCAATTTTTTTTGTTTTATTTGAACAAAACAAAAAATGGAATAAGAATCTACATTTTTACTGGAGTTTTAAAGTTCTTATTTCAGTCTTTCCAGCAATAAGGCTTCCTTAAAACATAGAAGCACGAGTTAACTGTTTTTAAAAATCACTTTCTGACACTATGAAGACCAAACAATTGATCAGTTGAGAAGATAATTGGCAGACAAATTAAAAACTAAAATAATTGTTACTTGTCACCCAAAGAGCTTTGAAAGCTCTGTGGTGGCGCTATAACTAATACACAGTACTTTGCTTATGCCCACAGGACCAGTGACCAGTCAGCCCATTCCTGATGATTTATTTGGATGATAATTAATAATGTTTGCCTCTAAGGTTGTCTCTCGTCTCCGATTATTACGTAAAGCAACTTGTAAGTATGAACAGTTTTCATTTTATGCTGTATTACCTATATAAGTAATGTTTCTCTAGATTACTGAATTTCTGTTTTCCTAATACCTAGGTGCACTTCAAGCCCATGGAGAAATTCTGAATGCATGTCTCCAACCACTTCCTGCTTTCTCTTCTTCACTACAACCAAAACTGAGAAACTACTCAACAGCGGCAGACAACACATCTCCTCCACGATGGATCCAACTTGAGCCGGAACTGGACGAAGCTCTTGTGCCACGTAAACTGTCAGTAAGTCCCCTGGAGAGCTGGCTCTCCCTGCGCTACTCCCTTCCTCCCCTGTTGGAGTCTCCTCAGCCACAGGAGGACGTTGAGCTGCTGGAGGAGAAGGTGCTGCCACCCATTACCGTCCCAGTTTTGGAGGACGAGAACAGTTCAGCAACACCCCTTAGTTGTAAGAATGTTCTAGAGATCCGGCGGCGGAAGATGAATCGGCATAAATACAGGAAGCTGCAAAAACGGACTAAATTCTTGAAGAGGAGAGTGTTGGAAGGCAGGGGAAAGAAGAAGCAGGTGAGACTTTTTTGTCTGTTTCAGATACAAAAAAAAATGATTATTTTTTCAAACCAGAGTCCTGTCATACCTGACAGATTAATTATTCCATTTTGATTTCTGTATTTTTAAACTAATCAATGCATTGTGTCATAGTCATAGTTTTATTTTAAAAAAAAAAGAAAACTAATAATGGATATTAACTTTTGTCTTTCTCTGGTAGTTTATCATGACTTACTGTTATTTTAAGATTTGTATGCCTAATGTGCATTCATTTCAACACAATTTTTAAAGCTAGGTGAAATTAAATGTACTTTACACATTGACACGACCAACTGTGCGCTTGTCTCGCAGAGACGATTTGAGCAAGATCTGAAAAAGATTTGGAGGCGAGCTGGACTTAAGGCGGCCCCTGAGGGATGGACTGCACCGAAAATCTTCATAAAACAGCACGGAAGAAAAAGGAACTGAGAAATACTGACAGCTATTCAGGTTTCTGTCACATACTTCACACTGGATGGCTCTGCACACCACACTTCAGACCAGTGCTGTAACAACCAGTCTAGTTTCTCTGCTTTTCATCTTAACAAAAACAATGATGAGGCCATATTCCCAATGTGTGCAGTAATTCTTAGTGTGTACATAATCTAATAAAGATCTCTTTTCCAAGCCCAAGACATATGGTAATCTTTCTGTTGCTTTGTTTTTTGTTGTTGTTGTTGTTGTTGTTTTTACTTATGCCTGATAGTAGCTTGAGGTAATACAATTAACATTTCCCTATTCATACTGTGGATGGCAGTATTGTGCAAAGTCAGACATGTTCACTCATTGTCAAGTGTATCATCCATCCATCGTCTATACACCGCTTTATCCTCAGTGGGTCACGGGGGCGCTGGAACCTATCCCAGCTGACTCAGGGCGAAGGCAGTGGACACCCTAGACAGGTCACCAGTCTATCACAGGGCTACACTTAGAGACAGACAACCAAGCACACTCACATTCACACCTATGGAAAATTTAGAATCACCAATTAACCTCAACATGTTTTTGGACCTTGTGGGAGGAAGCCACGCTGCACGGGGAGAGAATGCAAACTCCATGCTGAAAGATCCTAGGTGTCCTCACTGGGATGCAAACCGGCGACCTAGCTGTGAGACAATGGTGCTAACCACTGAGCCACCTTGCAGCCCTCAAGTGTATCAATAGTTCTTAAATGATTCAAGGACAAAAAGTCATTCTGATAGTTTTTTATGAAATGCAGTGAGACGTCTCATGGTAGGCCTAGAAAGTTACTTTCTCTTGCAGGGAGCTGAGGTACAAAATAACAAAAAATGTAGTAAAAATACATTTTTACTGTGTAAATAGCTGCTGTCTTTCACATATATGACTGAGGAGTTAATCCAAATAGACTGGTTTTACTTTCTGTTTTTAGAAGCATAATATGCATAGCACTCATAATGTAGATGAATCTAAAACCACATCAGAGGATTTTATTTTGTCAGAGTACAATCTACGAAGTAATTCAAGGGATCTGTTCCCACCACTTTATCAGATGCATAATTGCAAAATAAAGAATTCACATGTAATTTCATTTTGTAATTCAATCTCAGATTTCTTCATTAATAAATTTTTAACTAAATTCCAGTTATAGTAACTTGCTAAAATTTGATTTATAACTTAATTTTTCTTCATCTTGACGTCAGGATTTCCAGTCTCCTTCTCTGCCCACCGAACATACCTACATAGTTTAGGACAGTAAATGGCCGGTAGGCTGAACAAACACAATACAAAGGACATTTTAAGGTGAGTATCATCTAATGCTGTGGATGGAATAAGTTATGCTACTGCATGTAGCTAATGCTATTTACATTATGCAGTGAAATTTGCCCATCCTGTTCTTCAGTTTAGTACACTGTTCAGATCGCTTCACCGGCTTCCAGTTGCTGCCCACATCAAATTCAAAACTCTGACACTTTGCCACAAAACTACAATGAGAACAGCTCCCTCCAACCTGAACTCTCTCATTCAGGTCTACACTTCCTCCTGCTCACTACACTCAACCAACAAAAGCTGCCTGATACAACCACCACAACAGGGCCTGATGTCAATAGCTAAATTCTTCTCTGTGGTTTCCCGGTGGTGGAACAAGTTAACAAACTCTGTTCAATCTGCTGATTCCCTCTCAGTCTTTAGGATAAGACTAAAGACCCAACTCTTCACTGAACACCTTGCACTTGACAGACTGAAAACAAAATATATAAAAAATTCCTATTACCTCCCACACAGCCTGCTATTAGAATCAACGCCCTATCACACTTGAACTTGTTCTATGGCACTTATCCAGATAGTTTTCTTCTGACTAGATCCTTGCTTGTGTTGTATCTGCACTCAGATGTCTGTTGCTTTGGATAAAAGCGTCTGCAAAATGAAATTGTAGAAATTATATACTACCAGATAGTAATAATTAAGTTTCATTTTATAAATCTTTTCAGCCAGAAAGGGCTTTTCATTTCTGCCGTGGGGAGAAAAAGCTTGACTCTGGTTTTTCTTATACAAATAAACTTCAGCTATCAAATTTGTCACGTTTGCCAAAACTCTTACAGCTTTCTTTAGCAGGGTATCTAACTGGCCTGTCTTGTTGATTAGTATTTTGATTCCACATGACCTCTATGGAGTTACAGTAAATAAGTAAAAAAAACTCTTTAATGTTCTCCTTACGATATGGAGATACTAGTTTAAACAACTTGACTTTTACAAATAATCAACCTAAAAACTTTTTTTGCTGCCAATCATCAAGTAAGAGGTAATTAATGATATCTTTGATTGTATTGACGGAGCACTGTTGCCTCGCAGCAAGAAGGTTGCCGCTTCGCGTCCCGGTGGGGGCACCGGAGTCTTTCTGCGTGAAGTTTGCATGTTCTCC